TATTAAGGCATTGTTTAAATTCTATAATCCCTGAAATTTCGATCTTGTTAGTATACGCAGTTTTCTAGAAAAAATCGGAAAAAACGATATATAAACAAATTAGCTGCTGACGAAAATGCCGAAAACTGTCCACTTCAATACAAATAAAAGAAACCAGTTCTAGTTATGTAGTGATATAAATCTCCACATCTCTTTCGTTAGTTCTTAAGCCGATATCATAGTGTAAACTAAATTGTTGCTAAAGGTAGTAGTGCTAGTACTACTACAAATAAATTATTTTTTTATTTTTTTTAAAAGTAATTTTAGTTTTCAAGCATTAGTATAATGTATACATATTTTAGTAAGTAAAATTGCCACTAGGCAAAAGGTCAATTTGAAATTATAATAATAATCCGATATAAAAACATTTGGTAATAATTTTATTACAGCAATGAAGTTATCACTCGTTTTAGGGGCAATTATTTAAACATAATAAAATTCCTCCGGGTAAGAAACTGTGCCGGATTATTTCATATTAAGTTAAGTCGCTCGACGCCACTGGCCCTTCGGCTATGTTCGGTAAATCGGCCGCTATCTTTTTGCTGCTAAGTTCACATCACTGTCCAACTCTGTCTAGAGGACAATGGGTAAAGTTTGAACATTTAACGTAGTCTTTGTGTTTTTATGTTTTATATTAACTGAAAAGCCCGGTTGAAGTAACATCTTGAGTTTATATATTAGTACATGCTCCTTGTTTCGTCAAGACTATTTTATTTGCTTTGCATTGTTCGATTTTATTTAATTTTTTTTTTAAATGGAAACCCACATTTTTATTTTACCACACCACCCTTCTCTATCTCTCTTTCTGATAATTTTTTCGATCGCAGGTTTTGAAAAGATTCAAAATTGATTAAGCTATCTTCTAATCTTTAAAATGAAGGGGTTTGGCTATACTCGCGGCTCTGATACTCAGTTCGTAAATCAGCTACATTTGTTTATGTTTATGTTTTTTTTTTTTTTTTTTTTTTTTTTTTTTTTTCAAAATTTTCATAAATTTACTCATTTTATTATTATTTAAAATACACACATATCAATCTGTTGAAATGAAATGTCTCGCATCCATCAAAGGTATGTCCCATCACCATGACAACCGCTTACATTGTTACTCGGCGCGGCCAAAGTTTACAGGCGCGGCCTACTACTAAGTGGATATTTTAAGAAAATTTTAAATGTTAGTTAATAGTAAATAAAATAAAAAAAAAAAAAAAAAAAAAAAAAAAAAAAATTGAATAAAAAATTAAAAATATACAGGTTCTATTTAAAAAACATAAGTATGAGCATTATCTCAAAAAATATCATTTTTCGAAAAGTCTGAGTAATGCCATTGCATTCTACATAGAAAAGTGCCTTTAGAATGCATAATCCATTTTTCCCATTTTTCTTAAATGACCAAGCGAATATTCATAAATAAATAAAAAAAAAAAGTACAAAAATTTGACAATCCTCCCAGTTTCCTTGAAACCGATCAAGATAGCCAAGACCTGTCAAGCCATTGTATTTTTTTCAAAAAGAAACCGAGACTGCAGTATCAAAATTTGAATATTTCCCACGGCTCCTCTCCTAGATACCCTATAGAATTAACCAAAATGGTCCACCTGTACTTTTTAGTAATTGAATAATACGACCATAAACTGGAAAGCTGCATTTTCTTTGATTTTCAGAAAAAATATGCTAAAAGTATGTTTTCAATTTGATCTCTTCTCTCTCGCACGCCTTTTAATTCCGTTCTTATTTCGAAAATTCTTTGCATTCTTTCATAAGTTACCGTATTTAAATGGAGTAGTTTGTATATGGCGTTTGTCGCCTCAGCCTTGAATATCTGTTGGTAATTTACTTATTTCCTTGTTTTGAGCCATTTCTGGCTCAATTCAATCAGAAATACCGGACAGCTGAGTTATAGTCAAAAATATTGTCTCAAACCTGACAACTGAAATAACAGAGACAGCTTTAATTTATTTGTCAAATTACATAGAAAACCAACGCCAACCCAGTACATAATATTTTTCCAATTGTATTATTAAATTCCTTTGAAGACACTCGGTAACATTTTAAAACGTAACTCGCGGAAAATATTATTTTGTTGATACACGACGATAAAATTGCATTATCGTCTCCTGAAATTAATTCACTGCGATTCCTTACTAATTTGTTAATTTGGTCGATCGATAAAAGTCACTATTTTATCGTCTGTATAACTATAAAAAGTTCATAACGTAGTTTGAAATACACTCTAATCAATTTAACATAACTTACCATCTAATGGAAGTAAGTATATTTTTTATAAAAAAAAAAAAATTTTAGCAAAGTTTATTCCTGCTAATCCGTGGCAAATTCCACATTTTAGACTAATGCTTTTGACAATGCATTATGTATTTAAACCCACGAATTTCTGAAAATTATAAATTCAAATGCCAAAAACATACTGGTTTTCGTAGCCAGGCCTCTGGTTTTCACTCTAGAACTGTTCTATTTCCTTTATCTCATGTCCTACCAGCCGCAGCTTTCAGGAGACATGTTTGTTTCGCGGCTTTCAACGTTACAGTTCTTTAAATCGGAATGATCTAAATCTTATGGGCGTGCATACAGAGCTGTAAGCTCACAGAAAACTTAAATATTTTTTATTTAAATCATTTTAATGACATACAGCTTCATTCAGAACCTCGCAATTAGTGGAATAAATTAAGGTTGATTCTCACTATACCTTCCATATCAGCTACCTTCCGTTTACATAATAGTTATTTACAGTACAAGTGTGTTTATGAACATGATTACAACAAAGAGTGTGAATGATTAGAACGACGAGGTCGTAGACCGAGTCGTTCTAAACACACGAGTGTTGTAATCATGTTTAAACGCACGTGTCATGTACAAAGTTTTATCTACAACCGAAAAATAAGAAAATGCTGTTTTAATTTTCGTTTATTAGTCGCCCACCTTTAACACCTTTAACTATGACATTTGTCAAATTTATGCTGAAAAGTCAGTTTGCCCTGTCAAGTAAACGCGAGCACTTTTTGTCCAGAAAAATCATTTTAAAAATTACGATGAGCGATTCCGAAAGTCTCCCTTCAGATGTAGAACTTGCCGCAGTACGTGCCACGGAATCATTATTGCCGGAAAAGTTAGTATATTTAGGTGTTCGTAGTTGTTTTTTATTATTATAGCAACTAGTTGTGTTATAGATTCATAACACCACTAGTTGTGTTATGAATCTCATAACGTAACTGAAATACTAAAAAAATAGTGATGTAAAAACGTTATAACTAAATGGTTGTAGATAAAATATTATATCATGTAAATGAATAGAACAATGCACACTATCCGTTCCGTTTCCCTTTCGTTCCATATCCTTTCCTTCTATACATTTTTTGGCGGACGGGATGAAGCGTATCGGAATCAGCGTTGTTAAGTTCTTACATTTGTACCAGCTCTGTTAAAATTTTGCTGATACTTGTTTATTCTTTCTCCTCTTAATTAACTCTGTTACCTTTTTCAAAAGATGCAATTTTTTTAAAATAAAACTTACGTAATGTTATAAATTGTACAATAAAAAGTATGGAATAATATGATACGGAACGAAAGCTTACGTATAACGTCAATACAATAAAAGTAAACTGAAAAAAAGGATCTCTAAGTCAAAATGAATATGACTTTGACCCAAAAGATTGGCGCTTTTCAATAGGGCCAAGAACGACGTTTCTTTACCCAAAGCATAAACTATCTTTTCATAAGGTTTAAAAAATTACTTTAGAGAATAGAAGAATCTATCAGTCCAAAGTATTTCACTCTTGACCCAAAATGAATATGCAAAGAAGTTTTTGCTACAAGAACAATAGTCTCTTTGATTTATGCAAAAATTCTTGATTGAAAGGGGACATTTCTTGATTAAAGAGACACTTTTCTTAAAACAATAGCGAATACTATTGACTCGACTAAAATTTATTTTGATCTAAGAGAAGTCTATACATCATAATACAGGCATATTACGAGGTATATTATTTTCTGATAAATTTAGGTTTTCCTGGTCTATAGTAAGTAAAGTGATATTATTTTCCTCGATAGTAGTTATTTCTGCTTCTTCAATCCTTGGTATTTTTTGGGGTGGTTCATCGCTTTACAAATTACAAAGATTAATCAAAGTAGAGCAAATAAATTATTAAAATTATAAGCTTTGGTCCCATTTTGAATTTTTTAATACGACTCGCGACGACTTGATATTCTGAAATTTTTGTAATTATTTGCATAAAAAAATCGATAGCTATATACTTATTCGATCTATAGCAGTGATTCCCAAAGTGGTCCAGGTGGACCCCCAGGGGTCCACGGGAGACTTGCTGGGGGTCTACGTAGGCGTGAACAAAAAATGGGGGTCCATAAGATGTTAA